AGGGGGGAAGGGAGGAAGGAAGGAAGGAAGGAAGGAAGGAAGGAAGGAGAAGGGAAGGAGAGAAGAGGAAAGGAAGAGGAGTGAATGAGAGAGTGACTGATGAAGGAAGGAAGGAAGGGGGAGGGAGGGAGGGAAAGAAGGAAGGGAAGGAAGGGAGGGAGGGAGGGAGGGAAGGAAAGATGGAAGGAAGGAAGGAGGGAGAGGGAGGGAGGAAAAGGAGGGAGGGAGGGAAGGAAGGAAGGAGGGAGGAAGGAAAGAGGGAAGGAAGGGGAGTGAGTGAGTGACAGAGGAAGGAAGGAAGGAAGGAAGGAAGGAAGGAAGGAAGGAAGGAAGGAGAAGGGAAGGAGAGAAGAGGAAAGGAAGAGGAGTGAATGAGAGAGTGACTGATGAAGGAAGGAAGGAAGGGGGAGGGAGGGAGGGAAGGAAGGAGGAAGGAGGGAGGGAGGGAAAGAAGGAGGAGGGAGTCAGGAAAGGAAGGAGGGAGGGAAGAAAGGAAGGAGGGAGGGAGGGAAGGAAGGAAGGGAGGAATAACAGAATTGGAAGGGACTTTGAAGAGCTTCTAGTCCAACCCTCCCCTCAAGCAGGAAACCCTCTCCCATTCCACACAGGTGATTGTCTGATCTCTTCTTCAGTCGTCCCGCTGATTCATTCTTCTAACTATGACCCGTATCTGCTTTCCTCCTTCCTTTCCCATAAAGATCACTGGTCATTTCTGGGTTCAACTTTTGACAGTGTCCCCTTTTCCTTCCTTTTAGGTGGACCCTGCCAATGGCGATGTCCATCATTCACCGCGGGACTGGCGTGGGGATGAGTTTAGGTGCGTCGCACTTTCCTTCCTCGTCTCAAATCTTTTCCTTGATTGCCAAGGATAGATAGCTAGACAGACAGACAGACAGACAGACAGACAGATGATAGACAGGCGGATAGATATAGTAAATGATAGATGATAAATATGGTAGGTAGGTAGATAAATAGATTGATAGATACTGTAGATAGATGATAGTGTAGATTGATAGATATAGATACTGTAGGTAGGTAGATGATAGAAAAGAAAGAAAGAAAGAGAGAAAGAAAGAAAGAAAGAAAGAAAGAAAGAAAGAAAGAAAGAAAGA